ATATATATATATGGTAATTATTTATATAAAACTTAGTATCCTCTATTCTCCATCATTGCAATCAAATCTAATTCCATTCGCTCAAGTTCACGCTCAAGCTCTTCAGATCCCCTATAAAAAAAAAAAATAAATAAATAAAACATTCAAACCAATATAATTATTTTAAAATTTACTTTATACTACAGTGCCCATGAGCCAATGTATTTATTTTATCATCCAGCACAACCCTCTTATCATCATAACTATTAAATGTTATTTTATTGGATCGGATGGTTGTTAATTTATGATTAAATGAACGTATGGACTATACTATAGCATACTATGGACACATTAAACTGCTTATATGTCTCATTGTTCATCTCACCAAACAGACACTTACGATGGTCCTCAAACGTCATGTGGTTATCAACCACATGTTTTCTAATACCCTTAGCCTTAATCTCTTCTTTCGGTTTAATGGTGCCTCTACCCTCAATTTTATATGCATATGATTTTGCACGGAGTGCACAGAAAGCCGTCATTATAAGCCCATTGGTTTCGTCGGAGAAATATCCTGGGACCTTGGAACGTTCAGCGATATATCATGGATGATCTTGGGGTAGATTAGCTGTATCCATCCGTGCAAGAAGGTTCGGGTTGTTCTTCAAGTCAGCGTAATAGTCATCAGTCAGAATATAATATACAAATGAATCTAAAATAATTGTAATTAATATATTAACATAAGACCAATTTTAATATATTTACCTGTATCAGTATACATGAGTCTTATATTATCATTATAATGTTTCTTCATAACATTATAATGATAGTCATACATCAAAGTCTTACTAATTTCCAACACTGAAAAACCTAGGTATATAAAAATAAAATATAAAAATAAATGTATCGATAGAAAATTTAAAGTGTAAATATTTACCAATATAAATAGGCTTGTCGAATTTTATAATTGTATTTGCCATAGAGACCGCCGATAAATCCTCGTTATAGGATGTCATACATTTAAATGTCGACTTATTCACCAGTTTTTGAAATCGCCGTTCACAAGACACCAGTTCCATCTTCATTCTATTTCTAACGCATTCCATTGTTTTGCCTTGTGAAGTAATAAAAATAATTTTTAAAAATTATTAAAATTAAAATTAAAAAATTTTTGAAAAATTAAAAAAATTAAAAAAATTTTGAAAAATTAAACAAACCAAATACGGCATTATTCATGAGTTTAAAAAACAATATCTCGAAGTCGTTCGTTGCGTTTTTTCTCTTCTCGGTATTCATCGTAATATACTCTGCGAGCCAGGGTGATTGCTTAAATTGTATAACTCTATGTACCTGAAAAAAAAAACTTATTGAAACAGCTGGATATAAAATTTAATAAAATATGTATATACTTTATATACTTTTTCAACTATAAGACCGTTTTTAATGGCCTGTTGCAGATTCCTATAGTGAATAATATATTTTTTTTTCGTCTCAAATGTCGCCATCAGTTTCTGAACTTTTGAGCCTATGGGTATGGAGTTTTGTGGTAGGAATGGTAGGTCATTATGATGATTGTGAAGTTTTTCCGGATATGCTATGTCTACCTCATAAATCCTGCCTATAGGGGATGAATCATCCAAATCATTCAAACCTCTCAGCGTGGGCTCCACCCATTTAAACCCGCCATAGGGCATGTATTCACCCATAGCATAACCATATAAATTATTACAATCCTGATATATCAACCATTATTTAGGTTTAGTATCATCATAATCGGGGACCTGCTCGTTGTTCGCCGTTGCATACCGCATACTTGCCTGTACCAAACCACCTCGTATACCTAAAAAATTCAAATAATTATAAAAACTTTCAAACTTTTTTTTTTTTTTCATATACCTTTTTCGAATAGTAGAAGCATGCTGTAATCAGTTAGTAGTTCTAATTTGATGTTAGTTTTCTTCAGCATACAATGAAATGTCATCCCGGGGGCTGTAAAATAGTATGCAGGATCCAGACCATATGTACTCATACAAAGATCGCGGAAATTTTCAAAAATATCTGTCAGTAGTAATACGTCGATTTTTAAGTAGAGATCCGAATATTGACCAAGCGTCTCACAACCAAAGTGTCCCCACACTTTCAACGCGTGATCATATTCGTCATCCTCGATCTCTGTCTCAGTTAAAGTGCTAAAAAAATCCTTTTTCTCCGGTAACGCATCTTCCTCCAATTTGTCCCACCCATCCGTATACTCATACGGGTATACCCCCTTTCTTGTCACTAGTGCCATGTCATCTGTTGCAAAACATTTTGATGTCTCGCGGAATTTCTCAAAGTTCGGTGTTAATAGGTTTGCTGCTAGTGTTGATAATTTTGATGGCATAAACCTGAACGTGTCTATGAAACGGATTGTAAATGTTTTTGATATATACTTAGAAAATGATATATATTTTTCAGCGCTGTTGGGTATTACATCTATCTTACTTGCATCATATGCAAGTTCCGTAACAATAAAATGAGCATCATAATTAGATAAGTTGTGTAGAAAGCACGGAACAAATTTCGGCTGTTTTAAATCAAGATTACATTTAAAACAAAGTGATTGTCGAAATTTGCCGGTAAGGTGGCAATGGTCTCGGACTTTTAAAACAGTTGTGAAACTGTGTTTACATAAATTACAAATATTATTTGCATTATGCCTACGAGTATCGTCCTCAGTCATATTTATTGAGATATTAGTCTCCAATAATTTTTCCACCCGTCTACTAATATCCACAATCTCTGCTACAAAACTTCGAGCCACATCCTGCCTACTTTCGCTACCACGGTATTTAATAAGCGTCGTTGGTATATTATATTGCTCCAACAGCTCTATGGGTACGTCGTCGGATGCCTTTACTATAAATGTATAACTTAAAGGAACAGGATTTTGTATTATTGTCGTATTTCCTCCTTTCGCCTCGTCGGTCTTCACAAGGAGCGCCTCAAAGTCAGCATATATCACAAATTGATGTCTATTTGTATTTCCCCAAGATTTAAATTCCATACACTCACCCGCCACCGGCAATATGGGGAATATAGCCTTATGTGATCCACAGATGAGTTTATGTTCGTTCAGCGCTGCCTGTCCACTCGATTTATGTTTCAATGACCTATCGTCAAATGACGTGAAACATCGTTTACAAAATATAACACTTTGTTTATGAGTAGTTTTTTGTGCTCGTATAAGTCTGGAAAAATTGCTAATATATACATAATGGTAATCTTCTCTGTCGGTAATAAATAGCAAGTCTATATGATCAGCTTTCTCCTCATCTACGACTTTTAATGGAAAAACAATATGTGACATAGACTTTGACGAGGGATCGAATTTTTTTTCAATTCCATAAACATTTATTGACACGTTCTGGTTGTTACGCTCGAATATCTTAACATCACACAAAGGTGTCGGGAACGAAAGACCGCTGAAATCATACTTATTTTCGTGTTGGTAATAATTGTTACTAATGTAAAACTTATTCCTACCCGTCACGTGTCTTGCTAAAACGCACCACTTGAAGCATTTAGGGTCATTATTTTGGGGGTTAATTGTTCCTTTTTTATTTTCAATCATAATTGGCAACGGTAAATATGATGACCCAGTTTCGGGTATAAAATTTAAAATTTGTGGGTTATTTATATTAATGTCACCTTCGTTATTATCGTACTCAATTTCGTCCTCGTTACGATCGTCAACATTTTCACCGTCATTAGTATCACCAACATTTTCACCATCATTAGTATCGCCAACATTTTCACCGTCATTTTCATCGTCATTAGTACCGCCAACATTTTCACCGTCATCATTACCATCATCATAGTTTACTACTGGGGGTTGAACATAGGACGAACCAACCATTGGCGTATACCTATACACCGTCAATATTACCCCGTCTACTGTTTCCAAAATAAAACCACTTCCTCTCGACAAATACACTTCTTCCTGTTCAAGTAACGTGGTAAACGTTTGTCCTATTTTTTCGGTCAAATCGGTCTCTGCATAAAGTGCTTTAGCTGGGCACACAAATGATCTGTTCTCTGATGAGTTTTCTACGCCGGGCCTTCTGTATGTACCCTCCAACTTGAGATTAAATTTGATAGGATTTTTTGCAAGCGATGATTTTAATATTTTTAACAGATCAGATTTTATGGATAAAAGAAATTCAGGAAAGTTCGGAATATTATTAAAATTTTTCGCGAAATAATGAATAGCAAGTCGTTTGTGTGATGAGCTAGTTTCAACGAATCCGCCTGTCTTAACCATATCCATACGTGCTTTTTTAAAATTACGAGCAGTTATCGTATTTTCCTTATGAACACGATTTTTGCCTATCATAGTGTAATGATCTAAACAATTTTAAAAAAAAAACTATTTTATATCTAATAAAATAAATCTAAGTATAAATATCTGTCATAGCCCCAATAATAATTTTTAAAAAAAACTTATGATAAATTTAAATTAAAACTTATTTTGAAAAAGAATCTCAAAACGAAATGTTATAAATCGTTCTTAATAAAATTTGTATTGTAAAAAAAAAACTTAACTAGCGGTCTGACATCTGGTGCAATGCCGGAATAACTCCGACTATTATACCATATGATGCGACGATTGAATGATCGATACAATTCCAGAATACTCTGAATATTTTACCATTGATCGATTCACAAACCATTTGACGAGTTATTATAATAAAACTTATATTATCATAGAATATTTAAAATAAAAATCTAATTATCCCTAACCCAATGTGTAATAGTATCATGATAAATCTTACCTTGCACATCGCTTAGCTGAGCATTTTGAGCATGTTCCAAAACTTCTAAACAAAGTTCATTATTATCATCATCATACTACTGATCATTTACTCGTATGGGGGCAGGTACGACTTGCCGGCTGTTGGATGGACCAGCTTGACTGTCAGGAACAAATATTTGTGGCGCAACTTCGGTATATCCACGTTTAATGGCTCTAGGAGGGTGACTCGATGTGTCTTCATTGTTAGACACACTGACTTGTGGATTGATTACTACTCTACTACTCCGAACAGCAGGGACCCGAGCAATACCTAAAATAAATAAATAATTAAGTCATTAATTAATTTGAAAAAAAAAATAATAAATCAACTTCATGTACAATATCTGTCAATATCTATAATGTTCTCTACATACCATGGATGTTTTTCGTATGACGTAACAAGTTAGACTTGTCATTAAATGTTGAATTACACAATGGACAAGAGAGCCGAACTGCATCATGTCTTTTTTCATGTCTAATCAAATTACACTTACGATTAAAAGACGCAGGACACTTACCACAATTAAACATATTATATTTTTAAAGAACAACTAGTATACTAATATACAAATATACTAATAAGCTAATATACTTATTAAAATGAGAATGTTAAACACTTTGAAAAAATCACGGATTTGAAGACTAATAGTCAGGAGGTATATCGATCGTGAAATGTGTGTATACCGAACAAGAGACTGGGGACACACACTGACCGATCATCAGGGCAAGACGGTCCATGGTACCGAGCGACCGTACATCTCCAGCATTTTTGGAGGTGGTAATATTTTAAGCCATGTATAACTAAAATATTATTTGGACATTACCTCTGTTACATCTGTGATTTGAGTATTGTGTTCAATTATTTTTGACAACATTTTCCCTAGAAAATATTGTTGTTGTGTTAGTAAGGTTGGCTACGTGTGTGGTCTCCAACAATAGTAGTTTATTTTCAGCGCTGTTATAGCACTATCTGACGATAGATTTTCGTCCCATCCACTCTATACATATTTCTCTGTCGGTCACTCGAAGAAGCCTTATAAAAATAGTTACTGACATACCAAGAAAAGCGACCATATGTTACTTAATAGATATTGAATTATTAGACGCTTCTTGTATATTGCTCGTTCGATATATGAAGCCTCAAAAAAAAAAAATAGTTCCTAACATACCAAGAAATGCGAGCATATGTTTCTCCGGTAAATACTACAAGCTAACGATAAAATAATAATAATAATAATAATAATAATAATAATTAATAAAGAATACAAATATATGAGAATGTAAAAATAAAATGTATATTGAAAAAAAATAATAATATTCACATATTATTTAATATTTTTCAAGATTAATTCATTAGTTTCTCCATAATCGCTACCCCACCCTTCGTATGTGTCCATATGTACATTCAACTCTTCGTCATTACCGTCATCACCCCACTCCATTGCATCTGATTGTTCATGTCCGGAACACTCCGTCATATTCAGAATTTCACCCTCAATTAAAACGTTATGTTCCGAAGTCGTTCGGTGCTGTACCAGTTGTAGAATGCTAGGCGAAATAGTAGACTGAGATTCTGAAACGGCGTACAGGTCATTTCTGACCATCAGTGAGGCAGGTCTTGGGGTGGTCGGTGCGAACATATCTGGTGAAATATCTGCGGGGTTTAAACTACCTTAAGGTAAAGCTTTCCGTAGTGGGGACTGTGAAGCCGTTGTAGGTGGAAAAAGTTGACGTGGAGATAATCGTCGCGGTGGTAAAGTCGGTGTAGAGGTAGAGGGTATAGCAGGGGAGGCATGAAAAACATGCTCAACTGGTGAAACACTTTGCCAATCAACCATCTGTGACTCCCGGTGAGTTGAATACCCACTATCATCGGATGGAGTCTAAATAATATTAAATTTATTTTGTATTAAAACTATGTAATAATGATATTAATATTAATTATAATTTATTTATTTAAAACTCACCATTTCGGCATATCTAAATGGAGGATTCATTATTATAGCAGGGGTGCTCCATTGTTCGAAGTTAAACCGTTGACCACAAGGACTTAAATCTACTGGAAACAGCCTAGGCGTAATGGGCCTTGGTACTGGCCTAATGGGCCTTGGTACTGGTCTAATAACCACCTAAAAACCAGATTAAACAATTTTTATAAATAATTTTAATATAATATAAATCAAATATATACTAACCAAGGCGACATTTCTCCTCGGTCTCAAAGGGAAAAAAAATCATCTGAGCTAGATTCTTCTTCTTCTACTTCCAAAGGTATTGCAGCAAGAATTCTATTATATTCATCGCCACCATAAATGGGTGTAATTGGTGAATGGTGATGAACTATTAGACATCTAAAAAAAAAAAAAATGGGATTATGTTGAAATCGTAAATTATATGTGAAAATTGTAAAATAAAATACTTACATTTTATAGTTGCTAGAAGTGATATATTGTAAATATAAATATTATATATAATATATATAATATACAAACCAAGCGTGTGAAATAACAAAAAAAATATATATACGATGGTAATAACAGTTAAAATATCGTATTACATGTATCTGATGTAGACTGAGGACAGAATAATGTGTGTACACACACTCGAAATGTGTGTACACAAGACTAACAGACTGGTTACACACACTGTCTGATCATCAGGGCAAGACGGTCCAAGGTACCGAGCCGCCGTTGATCTCGAACATTTTTTGGAGGTGGGGGAATAATATAAACTGCTGTATGGTTATAAGGAAAATATTATTTATTAGTTAATTTATTAGTTACATCAGGTTTCTTATTCTATGTAAAATAAAATGTGAAGTATCAAGATCTAAATCTAAATATGATAGCATGGTAAGAACATTCAACGTCCAATCCATTTCTATTTTTTCCCTAATACGTTCAGAATCAAAAACTGCTATTCTCTTGAGGCCGTACACTAGTTGTCAACAATAGTTAGGGTTTATCGGACCACACAAGACGTCTCATCCCTATATAAAATATACAAAGGAGGTATACAATATATTGTATTGTTTTAACCCTTGTTGAAGAATGTTATTGTTAACAATGGTTAGGGTTTATCAGATACATGCCTCACTATAGAACGTTATGGCTAACGAAATGTAAGGTTACAATAATATAATATACAATAATACACACACATACACACACAATAATATGGTGTGTGTACAATAATATGGTATCATAATATTATGACTGTTAGATAAGAGACTGATAACTCTGTCTTGTACATTACGTCCGTCACGTGACGGATCAGGCGGCGGCGGCGGTATGACGAGGACGAGCAATGACGGGGTGGGGGTAAAATATACGTCGCGTACGTGCGCGATCGGGCGGTGGTAATGATGAAGACGAGGCAAGGACGAGCATGGGCGGGGTTAAAGACGATCTCAAAGACGATCTCAGGGACGATTGCCAGAAGCCCCCAAATCATACTACTGGCCTTTACTAACCTTTATAGGTATCCTTCGCTTAAATTGTTTAACCTCATGACAAGTACCTATATGAGTTTATTCGCAGTTACCTATAGAAGTTTATTCACAGTTTTTTCAGTTTTCAGTGTTTTTTTTTTTTTCAAAAGTTTTTTAAGGTTATAATATAAATATGAAACTCTTAGACTTTTTTAAATCGTTTGAGGAATTTGAAAGTTGTTTTGAGGTCTACAAAAACACAAATTATGTAGATTATTTCATAAAAGACTATAAGACATTGGCCTCAATAAATGCTAAATATCCAAATGGAAAAATGGTTACAGCATTAATAGCATTAAAGTACTATTATATTAAATTTTGTTGTATGCGTGGAGGTAGCCACAAAAATAAAATTACACTTGACCAACGCATCACGTCGTAAGTAGATTTATTTTATACAGCTAAATTTTGAAATTCAAGATTCAAAATATTAAAATTGTTTAACCCTTTCACTACCAGTGGGTACTCCAAGGTACATAACATTGCAAGTGTGATAACGGCACAGTTAATAATGATAAAAAGCTGAAATTTGAAAAATATTGTAGCAAAACGTATATTTTTAGTAAATAAGTTGAAATCATGCTGTTAAATGTCAATAACACATAACTAAAAACTTAAAACGTAAAAAAAAATTCAAGTTTTTCGTGTTTTTATTTTTTTCCGACTACTCGTCTTTTGATTTAATGTAGTACTTAGCTAATAGATAGCGTGGTATTCAAATAAATTGTAGTGATAAAGTAGTATGTTGACAGTAAAATGAAATAAAAATCGGAGAAATCGGACCACTAGATGGTGCGGGTGCAAGTCAAACAGTTAGTGGGTATTGAAATGCCCACGAGTAGTCGATTTAAATAAATACACTACCAATACATATTATTCATATTATTAATCTACGATTCAAATTGTTCAATCGATATTATTTATAGAAAATAAATATCTCTGCTACTCATATTTACTTATCTTACTTATCTTCACAGTAAAAAATATTATCGATGTTGATATTTATATTATTCAAAACATTTTTGTTTACACGGTGTCTGTCGTCGAGGAACGTTTTCGTCTACAGTATTTTGTAAAATTATTCTATTGCTTATTTTTAATTGTAACTATGGCTAATATATTAAAACCACAAGAGATTTATGAACTGCTAGATGGTTACAATTCTGAGTTAGATACGTTAGATGACAGTGATGACGAACAAGTCCCAAATGAATTACATAAGATAAACGAAGAAGGTACATTATACAACTCAGCTTATTTTATAGCAATATTATATTATAATAATAATTTATACAATTTATTAGGACAGTTTCCGAACGAAGTTTTGGAAACACTTCTTGCAGAATTTGATGAGACGAAAACATTTTTTGAAAATGAAACCAACGATGAGGCAAATTCCGAGGTCGATCTAAACTTTAACTATACACATCAGGTATTGAACTATTTTGATAAGATTTTACGAATGGATGTTACTGCGAAAAATGAAATAAAATGGGTCTCACAACCATTTGTCCATCCAAAACTTTCGATGGACGATATTATGCAAGATTTACCAATATACATTGACATTCCTTCACCATTACACTATTTCAATCGTTATTTTTCCGATAGTGACTTCGAAAATATGGCATTACATACAAACATGTATGCACATCAAAATACGTCCTAGTGGAAAAAAAATACCGATAAATATGAGATACGAACTTTTATTGCGTTACATATATTGACTGGTTGTTTGCGTTTTGCTAGAATTTCGATGTACTGGGATACATTTATCGGGATAAATGTTTTTATCAATAATATGTCGAGAAATCGTTTTTATTCTCTCAGGTCTAATTTTTACGTAATAGATAACATGAAAATTCCAACTACTAATAAAGATCGATTTGTAAAAGTTCGTCCCATGTTTGACTGTGTTCTGAAAAGAATTTGATACTCAAGATGATTATGGAAAATTGACAATAAAATATTAGGGTGACTTGGAAAAGCAGACTGAGAATCATAATTGATACTCAAGGCGATTTTAGCAAGTTTGGTGAAATTGATAAGGCAGTTAACTTGTTAAAATTACAATATTATATTATATCCAGTATATACTAAGAGTTTCCCAATAATGGGTTTAAAGGTAGTTTTTGCTGATGCGACCTACAAATTAATTGACTTAAGACTGCCGGTATATGTATTGATGACGGAGGATGAAAACGGCCAAAGCGAAATTGCAGTAATTGGCCTATTAGTTAATGAAGAAGAACAAACATTGCGCTGGTTTTTTGAAAGTTTAAAAAACTTAATCAAATTTCAGTTAATACTCGGGTATACGTTACGGACAAAGACATGAAGGAAAGAAAAGTAATTAAGCAAGTCTTCCCTGATGTTTCATTAACCATATGTTTATTTCATACATTAAGAACAATTAATAGAGAAATAACTTGTGACAAACGTCGAACCACAAATTCCCGAACTGCAAAAGTATTATACTCTTTTAACACCGTATGCATTTAGTTTTTTAAAAAAACAATTTGAGTATGATGACAAAAGTAATACTCTTCAAATTACAAATGAGTACTACTGCAATTGTATTTTTTACAATTCCATGAAACTTCCATGTCGTAATATCTTAAAAATTCGAAATCTATCACTGACACCTTTGTTTGATCCTGATTTATGCGATAAGAGATGGACGAGAGACTATTATTACAAAAATCAAAGAGTGTTTAAAAATGTTGAGGTCGTTCACTGTGATAGCAATATAACATTTAGTACGTTACACAGAAAAAACATAAAAGTCCCATCTACTCATGAGAAATTTCGTAAGGCGTCATTAATAAGAGCAAAGATTGGTAACCTAGTTTCAAGATCATAAAATATTCACTACCACCGAAAAATCGAACAGTTGGAATTTGTTTTTAACGCTAGGTTAAAAGGGCAAGAATTAATATTACATATATTGGGTAATTTAATATTAATAATCTTTATGAAATACTAAATTACTATATAGGTGCAGATGATGAAGTTATAGATGTGGTTGAAGAAGAATGCAGTGTAAACAGTGATGTTGTGGATGCCGATGAAGGTAACCTTGAAGTATTTGAAGATGGAGATAACTTCGACCATCGGTCATAATAACTATTGTGCACCTAGGTATTAACTATCAACTAATAACTCACTATATTATATTATTATACGACTATCAGTATACTAACGCATAAATTCTGTGCATACTGCATTATCATATTATGATGACCATGTGACCCGGTGCTCCATTATCTATCCGGGCGCCCGGTGCTCTAAACACAGCGTAATTTATTTACATCAACCATTTGGGGTACCGACTGGCCATCCACCATACATAAATTCTGTGTTCGCCACTT